CATCAAAAATATAATACAATATAATGAAGTGGAATTTATACCAAGGAGTCAGGGATAGTTTAACATACACAAATTAGTAAATATGATACATCATATCAACAGAATGAAAAACAAAAACTGTATGATCATCTCAATAACACAAAAAGCATTTGATAACGTTCAACATTCCTTCATGATACAAACTCTCAACAAACTAGACATAGAAGGAATATATCTCAAAATAATAAAAGGCCATATATGACAAACCAACAGCTAACAACATATTGCACTGGGAAAAGTTAAAAAAGTCTTTTCTCTAAGAACTGGAACAAGACAAGGATAACACTTTCACTACTCCTATTTAACATAGTACTGCAAGTCCTAACTAGAGCAACTGGCTGAAAGGGTAAAACGATTAGCTTTTAGTGGGGCACAGTGGGCCACAGTGGCTCACGCCTGGAATCCCAGCACTTTGTGAGGCTGAGGTGGGAGGATCACAAAGTCAGGAGTTCGAGACCAGGCTGACCAACATGGTGAAACCCCGTCTTCACTGAAAATACAAAAATCAGCCAGGTGCGGTGGCACACGTCTGTAATCCCAGCTACTCAGGAGGCTGAGGCAAGAGAATCACTTAAACCCAGCGGGGAAGAGGTTGCAGTGAGCTGAGATTGCACCACTGCACTCCAGTCTGGGCAACAGAGCATAACACTGTCTTATAAAAAAAAAAGAAAGAAAGAAAGAAAGAAAGAAAGAAAGAAAGAAAATTTAAAAGTTTGACAAGAGAAAGAAATAAAAAGCATCCAACTTGGAAAAGAGAAAATCATACTGTCCCTTTCAATAAACTATATTAGTTTGTATTTAGAAAAACTGAAAGACTCTACCAAATAACTTAGAGCTAATAAACAAATTCAGTAAAGTCATAAGATGCAATCAATATACAAAAATCAGCAGTTTCTATATGCCAATAATAAAACAGCTGAAAAAAAATCAAGATAATTCCATTAATCACAGCTATGAAAAAAGAAAGAAAGAAAGAAAGAGAGCAAGAGAGAAAGAAAGGAGGGAGGGAGGGAGGGAGAGGAGAAGTAGGAAAAGAACATGAATAGACAATTCCCAAGATGACACGCAGCTGACAAGTATATGAAAAAATGCTCAATATCACCGATCATCAAGGACATGCAAACCAAAACCATAATGAAATATCATCCTATCCCACTTAGAATGGCTATTACTGAGAAAAACAAACAAACAAAAAAAAAACAATAGATGCTGGTGAGGATGTAAAGAAAAGGGAACTCATACACTGTTGTTGGAAATGTAAATTAGTAAAACAATTATGGAAAACAGTATGGAGATTACTCAACTAAAATATTAATAGAACTACCATATAACCCAGCAATCCCACTACTGGGTATCTAACCAAAGGAAAAGAACTCAGTACATCAGGCCAGGTGTGGTGGCTCACGCCTGTAATTCAGGCACTTTGGAGGCCAAGGCGGGTGGATCACCTAAGGTTGGGAGTTCAAGACCAGCCTGACCAACATGGTAAAACCCGGCTTAAAAAAAAAAAAGAAATCAGTATATCAAAGAGATACCTGCATTTGCATGTTTACTGCAGCACTATTCAAAATAGCAACTATTCACAATAGCAAAGACATGCAATACACCTAAGTGTCCACAAACAAGGAATGGATAAAGAAAATGCGCTATAATATATGCAAACAATAGAATACTATTTGGCCATAAAAAAGAATGAAACTATGTTACTTGCAGCAACATGGAAGGAACTGGAGATCACTACATTAAGTGAAATACACAGACATAGAAAGACAAATACTGAACGTTTTCACTCACAGGAGCTACAAAATTTGATCTCACTGGCATAGAGAACAGAATGATAGGTATCAGAGGCAGGGAAGAGTGCAAATCAAGATCCATATTAGGAATATTTACCCTGATATATTCTTTGAGGACTGCAAATGCCAGGCTAATGACTAAATTGACTTCCCTGTCAGTGGTGAGCCAGTGAGAACTGCAGAGCAAGGTGCTAAGATGACTGCCTCTAAGAAAACTAATCTAGCTGTCATGTTACCTAAATTGGTACTGAAGGTAAAGATACCAAGATAGTATTAAAATAATACAGCTACAGAGGGTGAACTAAGGCAGTGGGAAGAGAGAAAAAGGTGCAATGTTTAAAGATGGATCATAGGATGTGGCCAGTGACTGGACTATGGCACAATGAGAGATGAAAAACATTACTCAGGGGCTTCAAGTCCCCATTACAAGAAACAGGAAACAGAAAAAAAAAGAGGAAAGAAAATGACTTGGTATTATTTTAGGGCATAATGAGCTGAAGTACAGGGCATCAAATTGCCCACCAGGTATTTGGAAATGCAATTTAAGAGGTCAGCAGTGGTATAAAAACAGAAATAGGACAATAAGGAGATTATTTACTATCATTTGTGCAGCTAAAATACTGGGCACAAGTAAATTCTCAAATGGAAAAATGCAAGTGTCATTGCAGTTTCTAGTTTACTTCTGTGGTGAGCAAGTCATAAATAATCTAAACATCACTGGTCTTATTAAAGCCAAGGGGATTGCAATCTAATTGCTTTAATCTAGCAATCTAGTAAATATTCTTTTAAATGCTAGAAAACTTAACAATATGCACTTCTTGTGAATTCTCCAAAACAAGCTTTCCTTAAATAAGGTCTGTATAACCTCATAACACTCAGGAACAGAAATAAGACTAGTCTTTATTGGAAATTCTTCCTGTGGCACAGTACCTTCCACATTAAGAGGTTATGAGGCATATTTAAGGGAAAAGTATAGCAGACAAGTTTTTAGGCAAATGTTCCTAAACCTTTCTATTTGGCTTGCATTGCTAGATAAGAAATACCAGGCCAGGCATGGTGGCTCAAGCCTAGAATCCCAGCACTTTGGGATGCTGAGGCAGGCAGATTACTTGAGGCCAGGAGTTTGAGACCAGCCTGGCAAACACGATGAAACCCCATTTTTAGTAGAGAACTAAAAATACAAAATTAGCCAGGTATGGTGGCACAATCCTATAATCTCAGCTACTCAGGAGACTGAGGCATGAGAATTGCTTGAACCTCAGAGGCGCAGGTTGCAGTGAGCCAAGATCATGTCACTGCACTCCAGCCTGGGGGACTGAGCGAGACTCTGTCTCATAGACAGATAGATAGGCAGGCAGGCAGATAGAAAACAAATACCAAAGGACAATGGGAACCTGCCTTACAACAGCAATGAAAACTTTCCAAAGAGAATGCTGTTATGATCAATGAGCAAACATGACTTTTCCAACCCAGAAAGAACATTAACAGCAAATTAGATCCTGCCATTTAAGCAAATGCACTTAAGTGCTCTCAAACACAGTGGGCCCTTAAACAACACAGGTGTGAACTGCACAAGTTCTCTGACACCTCAGGACAGAAAGACAAACCACGCCCCCTCCACCCGCCCCTCGCCCACCATTTCTCTTTTTCCTCCTCAGCCTACTCAAGATGAAGATGTGGATGAAGATCTTTATAACAATCCACTTCCACTTAAGGAAGAGTAAATGTATTTTCTCCTCCTTATGATTTTTCTTAATAGCATTTTCTTTTCTCTAGCTTACTTTATTGTAAGAATACAGTATATAATGCATATAGCACGCATATAAATATGTTAATTGACTGTTGATGTGATAAGCAAGGCTTCTGTTCAACAGCAGGCTGTTAGTAGTTAAGCTTCTGGGGAGTCAAAAGTTACACACAAATTTTCTACTGCATGGGAGAGTGAGGGTGTTGGCACCCTGATGCCTACATTGTTCAAAGGTCAACTACATAAAACAAATTCTATTTCTGGCAATATGGTCAAAAAAATCAAATTCTAAAATGGATAAGAAGAAGGAAGGAAAGAAATCAAATTATATTTGATCAAAAAGCAGCTATAATACAACCCAACCTGATTCAGGTATCTTGAATGATAAAAATCCAATACTATAACATGGTTAATCATCATTAAAATACAAAATAAAGCATATATGAGACAAAGGCAAATTTCTATCTTTCTAAAGATTGCTGTCTCAGAATAACAGCTCAGCAAACTGATGGAAATCAATATTCTGTATAACTTTTAAATAGTTTAAGAGACAATGCAAGTTTTTTTTTTTTGAGGCGGAGTTTCGCTCGTTACCCAGGCTGGAGTGCAATGGCGCGATCTCGGCTCACCGCAACCGCCGCCTCCTGGGTTCAGGCAATTCTCCTGCCTCAGCCTCCTGAGTAGCTGGGACTACAGGCACGTGCCACCATGCCCAGCTCATTTTTGTATTTTTAGTAGAGGCAGGGTTTCACCATGTTGACCAGGATGGTCTCGATCTTATGACCTCATGATCCACCCGCTTCGGCCTCCCAAAGTGCTGGGATTACAGGCTTGAGCCACCGCGCCCGGCAAGTTTTTAATAAATATAAGAGGAAAAGTGACTTATTTAAATATCTTTTGAGATAACATACAGAATCTCTGCTATCACTGCTAGGAAAAATAAGTTTCTATTCATTAATCAGCCTCAGCGAACTCTACATAAACACAAATTCAGTATAGAGGAGTAGGCTGAATATATAGCAATCCCTAGGTGACAAAGAACTAAGAGAAAAGAAGCTAAGTGACTTAAAGTGATTCAGCAAGTTGCCAGTGGATCCCAATGTTCCTTCTTCCAACTGTCACTGCCCACCTCAAGCCAATCATGATTAAAACCAATCAAGACTGAATAAATACCAACAAAGGAGGCAGCAAATATTTAAGACCCCTAGACACAGATGTGAAACATCTCTAAAATTTTAATAACTCAACAGCAAATTAAATGAACAACTGTTACCTGTGAGCATCTTCCCACACTTCAAAATTCAAGCCATACATCTGGAATTTATGCAACTATTTTCTTTCTTTCTACACATGTCATACTGGTAAATCTAAGAGTACTTTTCCACTGCAATACTTCAGTTACTTTCAGCACATCTTACCTGATCAAACAGTTCAGTACCATCTAATCCTGCTGCTCTCATTAGTTCATCTTCTCCACCAGGATGATACTCCATATAAGGGCTGACATTATAAACGAAACCTGTATCAAAACAAGCAGAAATAATATCCTAAATGAACTTCTTAAAAATTGTAACACCTATAAGTTTCAGTAATATATTCCAATATATATTCCAAGTATATTCCATTTAACTAATCATTGTTATTTCAAAGTATCAAGAACTGTAAAGGGTCTAAGATTTCAAGCAAGCAGAAAACTTAACCTGCCACTTTCATGGGTCCTGGAAGATAACATGAGACTCCTAGGTCAGAGACAAAGGAGAGGTTAGCAATCACATCAATAGCAGTAGTCAGAATATTAACATTTGTGTCAGTTCACTGAACTATAATTCCCAAGAGAGCTATGTGAAGAGGGCCAGGTAATATCTGCTCACTCAATGTGCTGCATTACAGGAGGGGGAACTCTGAGCTCAGGAAACCTGAATCTTTTACAAATATGCTTGCCCTTGTTCCTGAGGGAGACATTACCTTTATTATACAGAAGAATAAGCATATCTGTTCTTTGTTCTAGAGGGAGACACTAACATGCAAACATTTTGAAAAGAGTGTCCAAAAATACAGTGCCTCTGTTCACAAGATGCGCAGAAATGCAAAAGAAAATTGCCTCCCAACACGAAATGATGAAATACTCTGTATATAATTTTTGAAAGTACAAACACACACACACACACACACACACACACACACACACACATAGAGCAAGAGAGAAACAAAGTGACTGCTACATATCTGAGACAGAGAGAGACAGACAGACAGACAGACACACACACACACACACACACACACACACAAAGAAGTGATTACTACATAGCCATAACATTTCCACTGCATGATCCTCTACTGCCCTGGTGGAAGAATCTGATGAAAAAAGAATCAAGCTTTAATTCTTGTTTCTGATCATCTGAGCAAAGGGTAAGCAATGGTGACCACTTAGACATGCTCTGTGAAAAGGAAGCCCAACTCTTCTCAAAGATTATTCAGATTTTAATCTTTTTGTCTTCTCTAAATATTTATTTCATCTATTCAACTATTCTTTATTTTTATCTTTTAAGAAAGAGGATTAGGGAACAACAAATACAAAATATCTCAATACATAGCTCTACCAAGGAAATAAGTTTCTTTTATATTCTTGAAAACTAGATAAATACTAGGCAAATCTCGCCCTAAAAACATTGCAAAAGTGCAATAAGAACAATTTCCTTTTTTTTTTTTTTAAATATCCAGGACTATTTCCTCTTTACACGATGACTTCCATGAATTTAAATAACTTCAGATAACTTAAAATGTTCACTCTATCCAATAATCTTGGAAGAAAAGAAGAGGTTGGATTTCAGATCCAAAAAAAGTACTGCAGTTTTTTCACCAGATAGATTTTAGAAAATAACCAACCAGTCCAGATTTCTTTATAAAATTTCCTAAAGTTAAGCACAAAGGAAGTAAATTCACAGAATTTTTCTTTCAGCAGCAAGTAAGTCTAACAAAATTAGTTAAATTCCCTCATTTTTCCTTCCCCATACGCCTGGAGTCCCATAAGATTTAGAAGGATATTTCCCATTGTTTAATGCTCCAAAATACAGAGACCAAAAATGTGAGTGGTAATCATTAGGATCAGAATGATTCCCAATAGGCTTTTTAAGACAGAGGATACCTCCCAAACAAGAGTTCCAAACTTTCTCTGCAATCAAATCCTGACTGGAGTTCTACAGTTTCTCAAAAACAATAAATCTACAACCCATGATCGTCTGTAATGGAGTTCCATGAGTTTCAGGTAGCTTAAACAGCTATCCATGATGAGCACATAAAACCTGAACATTTCATATATGTTCTCTGCTATCCTGCTAGCCCTTTACATCGACCCTTATACGTCACAATCTTACCTTTCTGATAGGGGCTAGGATCACTCTGTGGACATGAAGAGTATCCCATCCTTTCCAGATGAAAAGACAAAACAAAACAGGAAAGTCTATCCCTTACTACAAGGAATTAACACTGCTAAATAGTGTCTCAGTCCAAGATGCATTAGACCAGAAAGCACTTGGCTGTGTTAGTAATTTGCTAATTATGAAACTTAAACCTAGCCCCAAAAGAGAACAGGTGCATTTCCTCTGATTCAAGCCTCTTCTTCTTTCCTCTTTCTCTCCTTCTTAGCTCCCATTTTTTCCTTTTCAAAAGCATTTTTTTAACAACTAAAAACTTGGACCCCTGGATGTGGCAGAGAAATACAAATGTGAAAAACCAATCTTTATGCTTTTCCTTCATGCTTTACTTTACAGGTGTACCTCAGAGATATTGCAGGTTTGGTTCCAGACCACTGCAGTAGAGCAAATAAAGCAAGTCATACTAATGTTTTGGTTTCTTAGCGCATATCCAAGTTAGGTTTAGGACAGGCATGGTGGCTCACCATTACATGGTGGCCTGTAATCCCAGTACTTTGGGTGGCCGAGGCAGGAGGGCTGCTTGAGCCTAGGAGTTCAAGACCAGCCTGGGGAACATAGTGAGATCCTATCTCTACAAAAAAATAAAATAAAAATTAGCCAGGCATGGTGAAGTGTGCCTGTAGTCTCTGCTACTCAGGAGGCTGAAGTGGATGGACAGCTTGAACACAGAAGTTTGAGGCTGCAGTGAACCATGATCATGCCACTGCACTCTAGCCAGGGAAACAGTGAGGCCCTGTCTCTAAAATATATAACAATTATGTTTACACTACACTGTAGTCTATTAAGTGTGTAATAACATTATATCTAAGACAATAATATACGTACTTTATTAAATATACTTTATTGATAAAAAATGCTTATAATCATCTGAGCCTTGAGTTAAACGTTTTGCTGGTAGAGTCTTGCCTTGATGTTGATGGTTGCTGACTAATCAGCATGGTGGATGCCTAAGGACAAGGTGGCAAGTTCTTAAAATAAGTCAACAGTAAAGTTTGCCATATCAACCGACTCAACCTTTCATGAGATATTTCTCTGTAACATGCAATGTTGTTTGATAGCATTTTACTCACAGTAGAACTGCTTCCAAAATTGGTGTCAGTCCTCTCAAACCTTGCTGCTATTTTATCAACTACATGTATGCAATATTCTAAATCCTTTGTTGTCATTTCAACAATGTTCATATTATCTTCCACCAGGAGGAGATTCCATCTCAAGAAACCACTCTTTGCTCTTCCCTAAGAAGTTACTCTTGGCATCCATTCAAGTTTTATCATGCAGCAGTTTCAGTCACATCTTCAGGCTTTTCTTCTAATTCTAGTTCTCTAGCTGATGTGTCATCTACAGTGACTTCCTCTGCTGACGTCTTGAACCCTTCAAAGCCATCTATGAGGGATGGAATCGCCTTCTTCCAAACTCCTATTGATGATGATACTTTGACCTCCTCTCATAAGTCACAAATCTTCTTAATGGCATCTAGAATGGTGAATCTTTTTCAGAAGATTTTCGATCTATTTTTCCTAGATCCATCAGAGGAATCACTATCTATGGCAATCAGAGCCTTCTAACCTTGACTGGGATAGAGGGTGGACACTGTGTTAGAGGGTGATATAGTTTGGATATTTATCCCAGCCCAAATTTCATGCTGAACCATAATCCTCAACACTGGAGGTGGGGTCTGCTGGAAGGTGTTTGGATCATGGGGGCAGAACCCTCATGGGTTGGTGCTGTCTCCATGATAGTTCTCACAAATCCAGTCATTTAAAAGTATGTGGCACCTCCACCCCTTCTCTTTGTTTTTCTTCCTTCTGCTTTTGCTATGTGATGTGCCTGCTCCTGCTTTGCCTTCTGTCATGAGTTAAAGTTCTCTGAGACTTTCCAAGAAGCTGATGCCAGCACTATTTCCTGTACAGCTTGCAGAACCATGAGCCAACTAAACCTCTTTTCTTTATATATTACCTAGTCTCAGGTATTTACTTACAGTAATGCAAGAACAGCTTAATAGAGAAGGCATGATGAACATTGCTATCAGACCTCTTGGGTGACCCCAGTGACAATGTCAATGAGCAGTAATAATTTGAAAAGAATCTTGTTTAATGAGCAGTAGGTCTCAACATTGAACTTAAAATATTCAGTAAACCATGCTATAAACACTGATGTGCTGTCATCCAAGCTTTGTTGTCCAATTTATAAAGCATAGACAGGGTAGATTTAGCATAATTCCTAAGGGCCCTAGGAATCTTGGAACGGTAAACAGACATGACTTCAAGTCACCAGCTGCATTAGGCCTTAACAAGAGAGTCACACTGTCCTTTGAAGCTTTGAAGCCAGGCATCCCCTCTCTAGTTGTGAAATTCCCATGTGGCATCTTCAGCCAATAGAAGATAATTTAATCTATATAGAAAATGTGTTGTTTTGTGTATTTACCTATGTCACCGATCTTAGCAGACCTTCTGGATAACTTGCTGCAGCTTCTACATCAGCACTTGATGCTTCACTTTGTACTTTTATGTTAAGAAGATGGCTTCTTTCCTTAAACCTCACCAAGCAATCTTTGCTAGCTTTTAACTTTTCTTCTGCAGCTTCCTCAACTCTCTCAGCTTTCCTAGAATTGAAGACAGTTAGTATTTTGCTCTGGATCAGGTTTTGCCTTAAGAGAATGTTGTGGCTGGCTTAATCTATCCAGACCATGAAAGCTTTTCCCGTATCACCAATAAGGCTGTTTTGCTCTCTTATCATTCGTATGCTTACTGGGATAGAACTTTTAACTTCCTTAAAAACTTTGCCTTTGCATTCAAAGCTTAAATAACTGTGTGGCACTACTAGCATGACTTTCAGCCATTTTTAGCTTTCAACATGCCTTCCTCACTAAGTTTAATCTTTCCTAGTTTTTTATTTGAAATGAGAAATATGCAACACTTCCTTTACTTGAACACTCAGAGGCCAATGCAGGGATATTAACTGTCCTAATTTCAATATTGTTGGGTCTCAGGGAATAGAGTAGCCCACCCAAGGAGAGGGACAGATGGGAACTGTCAGTCGGGGAACTAGTGAGAACACACACATTTGTCCATTCAGTTTACCATCT